AAAGAGTGGTGTTTTCAGTATGGAGTGTGTGCAGCAAGGGTGTGTTCTTGTGTTCTGGGTCTGTTGAGAATTTTGGATTAGCCATCATCCTGTTCTTTACCAAAATGGAACCTTTCCATAACCTTTTAAAGAAAAGAGAATATAAAAATAGATGTGTCCAAAAGCAGATTAGTAGTGCAATTTTGAAGGCTGGGATAAATCTGTGGAAAGATTTTTTTTTCTAATTTTTTTTTTTCCAAAGAAGGTAAATCATGATCTTTATACTAGTGGGAAGAAAAAAAAAAAAACAAACCTGTTTCAAGGGCATCTGTTAATAAAAGATAAAATGTGAATTTTATATATATATATCCTAATCACCTTCCTCATAAGAGCAAGGGATTATTGAAAAGAATTTAAAAGATAGCACATCAAAATCAATACGGGAAAGTAGTTTTCATCTAGTCTCCAATTGCAAACTCTGAAACTAATTGCTATCCTATACTTCAAATCCTACAATGTTTATACCTGCATAATATAATGAAATATTTGTATGGCTAGCAAGCAACAGTATGGATAAATGTTTACTTACAATTTTATGCCGAGTGGTTTGTTGGTTTTGTTACCATATGCCTAAAACCTGTGACAGACATTTATAGTCCCTTATCTCTCTGCCCCTTGGTTAGAGATTGTTTAGTGGCAATTATTTCTTTATTGCCGCCTCCAAAGATTAATTGTAGTGGGCAGTGGTGGATAAATACTGGTGTTTTCCAGGTTCAGTCCCAAGGGCACTGAAGTCAGTTTGAACTGGAGGTCCTGCAATCTTTTCCATTTGCTCTCGTGTTCCTTCAGCTGCAGTCATCCTTGCCTCTTGTTTGTTGTATACATGCTGATGCTTCTGCTCAGAGTTGGTTCAGGAAGCTCAACTGGAAGAATTCTTTCTTTTTTTTCCCTTTGGCAGACAAGGGATGACCAGTTCAGGTTCCTGAACTAACTACTTGAATACTCAGCTCGGGGAGGGGCAGGTACGCCTCAACCTCACTGTGCTGAGTGCAAGCTGCAGTGCTGCTCCAAAGTAATACCGCAGATGAACCACTTTTGCTATGATTCTTACTTTTGGAAGCTCTGTGCAGGCATATCTCCATTACTTATTTCAGCATTTACTGTTAACAGGTAGAATTCCTGTTGTATTCCTAAAACAATATGCCTTCTCATTTGTCACTGAAGGCCCTCAAAAGCTTAAACCGAGAAATGAGGAAGCGTTTTGGAATGTTAAATAAAATTTTGTTAGGCTTTGAGCCATGGCTTAATTTCTGGATTTTGATGATGTAAATCAAGAAGTTGTGTTGGTGCATTAATAAAGTTGTAATTTTGTTTTGTGTTCAAGTCTTGAAACATCTTGATTTGCTTTACACATTACAGTGCTATTTTGTTTCTGTTCTGTTTACAGCTGATATTATTTCAACAGTTGAATTTAATTACTCTGGTGATCTTCTTGCAACAGGAGACAAAGGTGGCAGAGTGGTTATATTTCAAAGGGAACAAGAGGTCAGTGACTTGAAAAACAAAAGTGCTGTTACTACACTGTTCTTGTGTTGCACAGTCTCACTTCATCTTTTCATGCCCCAAGGTTTAAATGGTTGGAGAGTTTTCTCAGAAAAGCCTAAGTTAGCCAAATTTCTAAATATCTGCCTTGTGCTGAATGTGGTAGGTTAGTCTGGTGGTGGTCCCTCCCCCTTCCAAAAAAAAAGGTCCCAAATATACAAGCGAGTTCTTTATATATGTGCCTAGTAGGCTCAGTATCATTTTGCAGAGTCGCCTGGGGACTTTCTCCTAAACTTTACCCTGGGTCAGGTTGATCTAAGACAAATCATAATTTAAGAAAAAATTACAAAAAAAGGATAAGTTAAGCTGCAAGGACAAGAGGGTAAGATGGTTCAAAAATTGAATTAAGCATCTGGTGTGTTTTAGGATCCTGTGAATCAAAAACAGTGGGAACAGCTACTTCACCAGAAACACTTGAGCATTTTCCGTTCAGAGGGTAGGCAGGCTCTCCCTCCCACAGTTATACAGCTTTTCAGCTGGCTCCTTGCAATGGTATTCAGTTGAGTGATAATGCTATAACGTGTTCTGTCCCTTCATCAATGCAGATACACCACTGAGCTTTTTATATCCAGGGAAACAGTGTGTATTGGAAAAGTACACTTAATGCTGAAAAGTAATTGTCATGCTTTGTCATGTCTGGGAGGAATCTGGAATTGTGTTCTTTAAAAAGTCAGTATTCCATGTAGCAGTTCTCACCCACTCACCTGCCACCAAAGAGCATGTTTATTTTTTCATTTGAAGAGCTGATGAGAGTTGGAGCCTTCTCCTGGATCAGAAATGCCAAAATTGATTGTGGAATTTTAATTCAGCTGGTTTATGCATGAAGTGTACTAATCATTAGGTGCTGTAGGTTTTTTTCAGCAGAATCCCACTTGTTTTGTTGTGTGGTTCAAATGATGCTCAGTTAATGAACAGCTGCCCCATATTTTGGATTTCATCCTCACTGTGATACTACTTCTAAAACATTTTACCAAGGGTGACTTGTTTTACTGTGAGGATTTTGAGAGTTAGTGAAATGAAAATACTATTGCTGAAAAACCTGCTGAAATATGATCCCACTACACCTAGACAGCTCATAGCTCATTTATCATTTAGTCTGCTGTACAGACTTAACTAAGCCACAGAGAGATCAAGGTCAAAGTGTCCACCTGCTCAGGATTTCTGACTTTCTTGATGCTTGTTTAGAGTGCAACTATTATTGGTTGGCTTTCAGCTGTTAGTGCTCAGTTGTTCTGTATGTCAAAACCCAGCTGTCATGTCATTTCTTCACAGTATTTAAAAAAAAAAACAAACCCTACCAAAAAAAAATCCCACATCTGACTATTCACCCAGGAATATTCAACTGTCTTCTTGGGAGCACATGCAAAGTATAGGGAAGAGTTGGGCATAGGTGTCATTTCTCTTGTGCAAAACTGCAGAATTTCCTCCTGGAGTGGAGGAAAAAGTCTAAAATAAGTATATAATACTGGCACCTTAATAAAATCTTAGAACCAATATTTTTAAACAGTGTGGATTTTAGCCTAGATTAACTAGGTTAACAACAACTCAGGATACCTGTTACAAAATTTCCCATACACTTTAATTGGGGAAGGCAGGCTGAAATGTTGTCCATTGTGCCCTGAACTCATAGGACGTTATTTCAGTTCCAAGCAGCTGATTATTCCAACCAAAGATGTGAGTAAAGAGTGAGCCCACTGCCTAGTGCCAGCAAAGGCAGCTTGCTCAAATGGCGGCTGGGTGGGTAAGTAATGCAGCTGACTAGCCTGAGTAGTGTTAGTTGAGAGGATCATGTCCAAAATGCTTACAAGTTAAATGACAAGTAGGGAGTAAAAACAATGTGAAGTCTCAGAAACAATTAAAATCCCATAGTGGAGACATTACAGAAAACCCTAGCTGAAATAACCTCCTCGGAGGTACCGAGTCAAGCGTGGAGGCGTGAGGAGGTGTCAGAACAAAGGCTGCCTGTGCAGGCCGGTGCTGGCCTGGCGGTCTTTGGCGCTGTGAGTCACGGCTGGTTCTCCCACGGTGACGCACCATCCATCACTGTGCAGGGTGGGCTTTTCCTGCTCCAATTCTCGCCTGCCTTTGAGGAAGTGATTTGCTGCTGCTCCAGTGAGTGTTTTGGGGAGGGGTTTTTTCAGAAGTTCTGGGCACTGCAGCTCTGCAGGCGGGGCTATTCTCCAAACATGAACCTAACATCAATTTACTTGAAAAGCCTGATAACTAGTTGCCTCAAATCTGATACTGCAAATCTGATCTCTGTTCCTTCCTACCCCATCTACCAAATGAGGATAATACAAAGCTGTCTTCTAGTTCTGTGAGGGGAAAACTGTTAGTGTATGTGTAATAGTCTTTGGTACGTCATGGTGAGCACTATAGACCAGCTTAGATGAAAATGTAATTCCATCCTTCAAGTTTTTGTAATAAAAAAGGTTTTCAAAGCTTAATTATAAGGCTTGATACCACTTCTGGACACAGCATGTTTTAAAATGAGTCAGAGAGGAGCTGAATCTAATGCTCATACTTGATCTTGCTGTCCCTTCAATCGTGTTTTTTATAAAAAACATACTTAATTACTCCATGTCCTATGTCCTTTAACATTAATTTCCTAGTCTGGAAACCCCGCATTCTGTCCGTATTGTGGTGATTAGAGGAATGAGTTTTGGAAAAGGACGGGAATGGAGATCAGGTGAAGTGCAGAAACTAATCCCATGGAATTGGTGGTTTAGAATGTAGGACATAGCTAACTTCTGTGCTCCAGTTCTGTTGAAACTCCTTGGGAGAGGCAGCATAGCCTCGAGCTCTTCCAAGCACAGCCAGGAGCTCCTTTGCAGACAGCACGCCTCCTTTTGAGTGCTTTGATCTGCTGTGTTCTGTGAGTACACACGTATTTATATAGAAAGATACATTTTTTTTTAAAAGGAAATCCGTGTGCACTATATTGATGCTAAACTAGGTACAGTATCACAGAGTAAAAATGTAAAATTCATCAAGATCTGCTGTGAAAAGTTTGCATTGTAATTGACAATTTCTGGTCATTGGTTTGTATATACAATTCCTAATGAACCCAGTAACATCAGCTTCAAGAAATATTATGTTTCCTTGCAGAATAAAAGCCGTCCTCATTCTAGGGGAGAATATAATGTTTACAGTACCTTTCAGAGTCATGAACCTGAGTTTGACTACTTGAAAAGTCTAGAAATTGAGGAAAAAATTAATAAAATTAGGTGGTTACCACAACAGAATGCTGCTCATTTCCTGCTGTCTACAAATGGTAAGGACACTTTATTTTTGCACAAAGAACTTTTTATGTCATTTGAATATTATCTCACTTGTAATCCGCTTGTGGGGTGTTTTTCTGGGGTGTTTTGGGGCTGTTTTTAATGTCTTCTGTAATTATATGCACAATATGTTTTGATTGTAATATTCTGTGAACAACTGATTTACGAATGGAAAAATAATGACGCAGCAACAGAATAGGCATAGGTACAGAGCTGGGTTCTGCAGATCTACTGACCGTGCTATCCATTCACTGTTACTCTGCTTTCTCGTTCTTGTATAAACAGATTCCCAGTGTGCTGAACTGTAGCAGAAGTCTGAATTTGACTTGATCATCTTAATTTTGAAATTGAATTTTTTTTGTGATGCCAGGTGAATTTTCAATAAAAATATTCGAAATTGAAACACTGCGGTTACAATGTTCTTTTTGCTTTTCCAACACCAAAACATCGGGTGTGCTTTGAAAAGCAACTGTACAAAAGACAGCAGTCACTCTGGGAGGAGTCTGTGCCCTTTCACTGTATACCTTAGAATACATAAAAGCAGGGCAAAAATTACGAGTTGGAAATTACAAGTTTTTGTGCACTTTGGGGTTTTTTTATTGCTTACAGTATTTTATTAGTGGTTATTAGGTATTAGGTCTGTACAGGTATTAGGTCTCTTTCGTTTCGGTGCATCATGGAGCAAGCTGTAAATGTAAATGCAGAACTGTGCATGGAGAAAACTTGCTCTTACTGTCAGAGGAATACACTTCCTAACAGTTTGGATCCCTCTTTGCCTTGTACATAAATGACTTTATGTAAGGGCTGATATCCTGCCTGCTATGTGAAATTTGAATGACTCCTGTCTAGTGGGCTTTGAGACTGAAATAATCTTTCTTTGATGTAAGCCTTACTAAACTTAAAGCAGTCCTTAAACCATGTCATTGTACGTGCTTTAAAGAGATGCAGTAGTTGGGGAGGAGAGGTTTGTTTCCAGTTAGCTAGGGATCTCACTCTGAGTGTGTGCTTTCTTTCTACGCTTGGAAAGACCTCCCCCAGTAAGAGCTGGGCAGTATGTGCCTGTGGACGTGGAGCCCTCAAATAATGGGGCAAGTCTGCTCTGACTTACAGCCTTTGGCTGGCTCTTAGCAGACACCTGGGACGAACTTGCTTTTTCTTAAGGTAGTTAGTATAAGTAATTCATGCTTTTGGTGGGTTTTTTCCCCTAGCATGTGTCTGTTAAAAATAATTTAGACAGTCCTGCAGGGCTTATTGGTGAATTTTGGTAATTGGTGTGTGCCCCTTCCCTTGTGAAGGGTGCTGGGGGTGAACAGGCAGAAACCTGTGTTTTATTCAGACTGAACCTTACATTGGAGTTCAAATTGAATCCATCTTTTTCCCCTCTCCATTTACTGATATTTTCATGCATTTCCCATCCGCACCCTCCAAGTGCATGTGTCCAGTATATTTTTTGTTTGTTTTTCATGGATCAGTTCTGCTCAACAGTACAGTTGAAGGATACTTCAAGTATCCGTAGGGAGGACTGTACTCCATGCTTACATTGTTGTTTAAAGGACTCATTTTGCTGTCCCTTCTGTTGCAAGCAGAACTAGATAGATAAATAATATCCACTCTGCTGACTCCATTATTTAGTGATTTTATTTTTAATTTAATTCATTCTCAAGCATGTGAATTTTTGGTTTTAGATAAAACGATTAAATTATGGAAAATAAGTGAAAGGGATAAAAGAGCCGAAGGTTATAATTTAAAAGATGAAGATGGAAGACTTAGGGATCCTTTGAGAATCACAGCACTACGGGTATGTTTCTGCTTTTTGATTTTAAATATATCTTTGCATGTACTTCTCTACCTTTGTACTACCAAAGTTGTCAGCTGAAATGCGTAGATTAAAAATGATGTTTCGGTCAGGGTCATTGAAAACTTTTATAAAAAATAGAGACATTTCAATTTTTTATATGTATATAATATAAACCTGTTGAATAAGGTTCCTCTGGAAAACTTTAGGCAAACTTTCATGATCATAATATATTACTAGCTTCCCAATAGTTTGTTGTGAGGTTTTTTTTAACATCTTAGCATATTTTAAATGGATTTGAAATTTAAGCTGTTTTTTAAAATTAAAATATTTTGTTAGAGACAGCCCTCATTTACCTCAGTGTATTCAAATTGTAGAAAAAGATACAGTGAACTCTTGACAGCAATAAAATATACCAAAATGTTATTCAAGCCTGAAAATACAGCATTTTGGAGTATCTCTGTCTGGGGCGGCCCTGCTCTATACTCAGTTCATAGAAAGCATGGACTCATCCTGCTGTGGTCTGAAAATAATCTAATGTCTTGGTGTACATGAAGAGAAGTGCAGGGAACACATTTATCTTGAAGACCTGTGACAAACTCCCTTCTCTTCCTGGCTGCGGATAGTGCCGTGCTGTCTGTGCTGGTCCCTGGTAAGGAGCAGTAGGTGCCTGGGGTAACCTTTACATCCTCCCCGAGTGCTGCTCTGGGACACTGACGGGTTGGGTCCTTTTGTTTGTCTTAAAGCAATTGAATTGAGGAAGAATTGGGCTTTGATTGTATTGATTTTTTTTTTTCCCCCTCAATATTGCTCATCGTTAACTTGTTTGGTCTTTTTTCTAAAACAAGATTCAAGAATTTGAACAGGGTGCTGGGTATTTGATGATTAGGTAGAAGGTGTTTTTGTTAGAGGCAAGTTCTGAGCATTTGGAAGACTTAATGTATACTGGAGCAGTCTTGACTTTTTTCCACTTGCATAGCGATGTAGTGGTAGGGCTAGTGCTCCAAACTTGGGATCATTTAAACCAGGAGCTCAAGACATTGAATCGTGGGGTTGGGGGTTTTCTTGTTGTTTTTCTGTGCTGTTGTTGTTGTTGTGCCATAAATAGGAATTGAACTGAGGCTCTTAGTACTGTCAAAGCCAATGCCACTCTTGACGCTTGTGGGGTTTTGTTGGAGTTTTTTGCCTTGCTTTTGCTTAAATTGAATGTTGAACTGAAGCTTTAGGTATACATGAGCCTAATGCATAATCATGATGGGAAAGGATATCCACTTCCTCTACTCAGCATGTAGGAGCCAAGACGTGATTGAGTATTCTAATGAAAATATCTAAAATCAAGGATATAAATTATGATACAATGCTTTAGCCCAGAGGGTGGAGGTAGGTACAGGTGACATTTTGGGTACTACAACCTTGTCCTTATGTAGGAGCAGACTGCCTGTCTGGGAACATGGAGAGTCCAGAATACGGCCTGACAGTTTTACAAAGTGCTGGGTCTGTCGCTGAATGAGTACGCTAGTGTCTTCTCTGAACACTCTCATATATTTAGGAATCGTCCAGCTGAATGGGGGAAGCAACAAAAAGCAAGAACCTCTCTCTTAACAGTCTTCTACATTTGCTGCTTTTCTGGAAAAGGATAACTGATAATGCATTTTTGATTTTACAACCAGGCTAGGAACGCTCATGTGGTGAGATAGGAGAATTGCCAATAAAAAGTAGCAGATTAATTTTAGTCCTTTCAGTTTCACGTAAACACACTGTGAGATACAAACAAGGTGAGAACAATTACAAGAGCTCTTGGATGAATTTGTTTCTTCTGCCGGGAAGACAGCTGATCTTGGGTGCTGTCATAGCTTTTCCTTGGCTGGATGATGTAAATTAGTGTTCTGTTGAACTGTCTGTGCTGGACTGACCCTGACAAAGCACGTCACTATCTCGGGGAGCTGTGGAAAGAGGGCATCCACGTGTTCTGAAAATCGTACTGACTGCTCAGTGACAAATTGGGGATTTTCCTCACAAATTGTTCTTGCCAATTTCACAAGCACCCCTCTAAGATGTGGGGGTTGTTTTTAAGCACTTGTTTCAAGTTAACATAAGCTTCAAATATCATTATGAACATACACAGTTTTCCTGTTGGATGAGGTACAGAGCTGCTGTCCTGGACAGGTAACTTCTGCAGAAGTCAGGGTCTGAGGTTTTGTGTTGGTAGTGTGCAGAGTCAGCATTCACAGGCCATTTTATGACTTTTCTTGCTCAGTGGATTTGAAAAGTGTTTAATCACTAAATCAAAATGAAAAACGTGGTGTTCAGTTAATATCTTCTGAATTAAAAATCGGTTTTATGCCAAAATTAACTCTCTCTTTCATGTTTCAGGTGCCAATATTGAAACCCATGGACCTAATGGTAGAAGCAAGTCCCAGAAGGACATTTGCAAATGCACATACTTATCACATAAACTCTATTTCAGTAAATAGTGATCATGAAACGTACCTTTCTGCAGATGACCTAAGAATTAACCTATGGCATTTAGAAATCGTAGATAGAAGTTTTAGTATCCTTTTTTTGTTGTTGTTGTTTTCCCCTCTGTGAACACTGGGGCACATGTAAGTTGTGTATGTTTAAGAGAATCACTCTAATTTTACTAATTAGAGCAGGTGTTTGAATCTAGGGATCAAAATGCAGAATTTTAAAATCAGGAGGTTTAATACAGAGAAAGCAGGCCTTGGGATGCTCTAATTCACTCTTGAGTGCAAGCAGGCTCAGTGGAAAGCTGCCAGTAGAAATATCGTAGATCATTTCATTTCTAAAGAGAAGTTGAGGAATTTTGGGAGCATCCTTTATTTGTGGAGTTCAGTCAGCCTAAATAAGAGTTGAAAAAGATTGGCGAAGTAGATCCTTTGTTACTGTACATAGTTCTTTGCAAAGTTTAAGGTCTCTTAACCAAGTGATGTTTCTCTTAAAGAAAACAAATATTTTTTTTCCATGACAAATTATATCATTAACCACAGAAATAATTTTCAAATCTTGTTTGCAAGCATGTGTATCCAAAACTAATAGTATGTTCTACATTGATAAATCTGCAGTAAAATAAAAGTTGCAGAAATACTGGATATTCAGTAGGTCATACACAAAGTTTTCTAAAGTTTTAGGTAGATAGATGAAGTGTGTTCAATAAGAAGCGTTAAGAAGGAGGCTTGAGAGGAGTCTGAAGTTATCTCCAGCATCTGTTAAAGCTGATTTGTAAAATCTAGATTATTTTTTTTTAAATCTACTCAGGTCACTTTATTTTGTGTAGATTGCATGCGGTGGAAATGAAGATCTTGCTCTGGTTTCCTCTGTGGTATTTTTAACATTTTTTAAATGATTATTTGCTAGAAGTGATTTGAATGTCAAATGCCTTGACAAAACCCTTCCCAGATATTGTAGATATCAAGCCTGCTAACATGGAGGAGCTGACAGAAGTGATCACTGCTGCAGAGTTCCACCCTCATCACTGTAACGTATTTGTCTACAGTAGTAGCAAAGGGACTATTCGGCTCTGTGACATGCGTTCTTCAGCACTCTGCGATAGGCATTCAAAATGTAAGTTGGGATGCGCCGGTGGTTTACAGTTCCTTGCTTTGTTTTCATGTAAGATTCTATCTGTATAGGTGTTCTGCTTAAAAATAAACATACCGAGTTCTGCTTCTTGGTAAAGAGCATACAAGGTAAGGGATGGTAGTTTTGTAGAATGGAACATTTTAATTGTCTTGTTCTAGGCCATCACCAAGCAGAAGTGTAGCATGAGACAATTGCCGATCTGACTCTGCTCCTGTTTACCCATTTATGCATCATAAACTGATGGGAACAAGTGCTTTTGGCACCAGTGAGACCTGTCTTCTGTCCAGACTCAGTCTTGGTGCTTCTCAAAGGTATCTGCTTATCGAATGCCAGTTCAGGGCAGTCTGTTCACCTTCGTGCATTAGAAACTGGCCTGATGCTGCCAGAATCCATTTACTTTGTGACCATTTGCAGCTCCTAGGATAGAATTAATTCTTAAGAGCATGCGCTGCGTTTCAAGCGAGTTTCCAGGGGTAAAAGGGGAATGCTTCTTGGTCTGCTGAGCCACGTAAACTTCCCTAGGTGAGGAGAGCTTTTTTGTTGCAGTCGTAAGGATAACTGCCTATGCCTTGCACGCAGCCTCTTGTTTCTTGCTCATTACTGTAACCATTGGGGTTTCTCAGTAGTGCTACTCCTCTGGGGTGCCCTACCATGCTCATACTTGCAGGTAAGCTTCCTACAGTGCAGATAAGATTTTCTTATTGGTGGAAGGAAATTTTTGTGTGATACGAAATTCAGAATGCTAGGCCACTTGATCTCTTTGACTTAGTGTTTGCAATAAATTACTTAGAAGCACTTTATTTTTTAACTGCTTGTCACTAAATAACATCCTGTTGAAAGGGATCTATTAAAATATGAAATAAATCATTCTGGGTAGTTTCTGATATGAAACATTGACTTCAAAGATTGACTCTTCAATTTAAATAATTTATTTCTTTATCTGCTTTCTGAAACGGTACAAATTGCATTGCCAGTGTAGATACTACATTTTCATTTCAGTAGACTGTGTTGTACAACTTCTGTTGGAGTCTGAAGAAAAGTGTGTTGTACAGTAGTCTCAAAATGCATGGGTCATGCATTCAGTACTGTGTTTGGGATGCTGATGTTTTTATCTGCTCCTGTTCAACGTGATTTGTAGATCAGTTGCAATGTTTACTGTACCCATGTGCTGTCTTTTAATTTTTTGTCTGATTCATCCCCAAGACCTGTGAATTGCAGTTTGCTGATGCTGTGCTCCAGTTGAGAATGTTGGAGATGGGCATCTAGCAATCTGACGACTAAGAGCATAATGTTGTTTACAAAGAGATTCTTTTTTTTAAGTCTTTAACAGCATCTTTCTTTAAAAAGAAACTAGTATATTGATTTAAAATTTTCCAAGTACTGGAAAACATTTGAAGTGGGAAAACCTGGTGTTGGTTTCATTTGTAATTGTGTCTTCTGTCTACAGTTTTTGAAGAACCTGAAGATCCTAGCAGCAGATCATTTTTTTCAGAAATCATATCGTCGATATCTGATGTAAAATTCAGTCACAGTGGTCGATACATGATGACAAGAGACTATCTTTCTGTTAAAGTGTGGGATCTCAATATGGAAAACAAGCCTGTAGAGACATATCAAGTATGGTGTTCAAGTTTTCTGAATTATCCCTTCTTTTCCCTTTTCTTCCTTTTCTTTGTATCTAATGTCAATTTAAATGTTCCAAAAAGGTTCATGAGTATCTTCGAAGCAAGCTTTGTTCCCTTTACGAAAACGACTGCATCTTTGACAAATTTGAATGCTGCTGGAACGGTTCTGATAGGTAAGTTGGGGAGTTCGTTTTGGTTTGGTTTTTTGTTTTTCCCTCAGCTGTAGGAATTGGGTCTCCAGTCTTAAAAGCCATAAGCAGTTCTTAACTTCAGGGATGTAATTAGTTGCATTCCAGTCAGCTGGGTTTGTTTTGTTTTGTTTTGTTTTCAAAAAACTTCATTCTTCAGTCCTCCACTCTCCAGTCAAAGAAGTGGAATCCACTTGTGTGTGTCAGTTTGCTTCCAATATGAGTTGTTGTTGGAGTTTTACGTAGTCAGGAAATGGCCGTTTCAAGCCATGAAAATGTGACTCGGTTTCACTCTTAAAGTGTATACAAGAGCATGCATTCAGTGTCTTGCAAATTGAATCCTCTTTCCATGCTTTGTGTAGGCTAAATAAGATAAAACTGTGTTAGATAGCTACTCATACTTGTTGCAAACAGTGGCGATGTCTTGCCTGCAAGTTGTGGAGCATTATGGTCAGGCAGCAAAGCCACTGTCCAGGCGTATGTTTCCCGTCAGTAGCTATGGTGATATTAGCTACCTGTTAGAACGCTTTCAGGCCCCACAGATAAGATCGTGGCAGGTGCGGATCTTACATCAGGATGCTTTTTGTTGGCTTGCCTCGGGGATTCTTTTTCTTTGTTGTAGGAGTTTTATGGCTATATCTGAACTAGCTCAAGCAGTGACCTGCCTGCTGCCAAATCTTGTGGGCTGTTCAGTGGAAAGGTCTCGGTTTGGTTGGACGGTGACAGGGCCAGCCTGTGAAACAGGCTTTGGCTGGAACCTGCCAAATACTGAAGAACAAAAGGTTCACCATGTCATTTAGATGGGGACAGTGATCTGGGCAGTGAGATCTCAGGGTGTGCAGCCTCACGTGCATTGCTGTTGCAGTGACGGTTGAGAGTGCGTGTACTGCTGCATGCCACTTACAGACTCACTTCTGAGGTAAACAATATGAAAGAAAATCTGTTACTCTAAATACCAGGCTGCAAGCGGCTTTGAGTTATTGAGGGGAGAAATCATGCTGTATCAGGTTACAAAAAAAAAAAATTGCTAGCAATGTCTACAATATCTACCATAAAATGCATAAAAGAAGTGGTGTATGTTTCTCACTAAGCTAACATGCAACGAAACTGACCCTTTTTCTATGGGTTTTTCAAGCAACTCCAGTCTATCTTTTTTGGAGGGTGGGGGGGGGGAAGTCAAAGCACAGTCATCTCATTTGAACATAAGTTGTCATAGAAGCTGTGATGCTTGCCTCCCTTTGAAAAAGAAAATATTATTTCACTTTGTGCATTCCCTAGTGCAATCCAAGTGGTCTCTGTCATGGTGATAGTATCTCCTTCTCCTCCTGGTCATTAACCTTTTAATGCCAGGAAGACAATATGTGTCAGCTAATTAGGGGACAGGGGTGAGGTGGCTGTGGGACTTCTGCGGTGTGAAACGGCTTTTCCAGTTCCAAGTGGTAGAGATAAGTCTTCAATACAGAAAATAATGAATAACTCTGCCTCAATTTCAAGCAGTTTTTGAGAGCTACAAACAAAGCCGTTGATTGGAAGTTGGATTTAGGAAAGCATTTTCAGATGCAGATTTTTTCCCCTGCCTTGTACAAAAGCAGGTTTGGTGCGTACAGAAACTCCGAACGGTTTCTGCAGGGCTCACGCATCCGCACAGGGGGTTTCTTCTGCTGATTCCAGACAATTTTTGTCATTAATCCTTTGGTGTGCCCATGACTAGCACGTGCACAGTGCCAAGGCAGGTGGTGCTCCGCTGAAATTAAGCAGTTCACGAGGGCTGTGCTTCCACTGTGACTTTCATTGCTGCAAGGTGAAGGGATAGAGTAGCAACAGAAAAACCCCTTTTGCAGTGCTGCAGTCCAAACGGAATTGAGCAAAAGCTATACGTGAGAGAGGAGAAGAGTGTGATGCCACGGTCTGGCAGGCACCTCGTGGGCAGGAGAGAGGAGATGGGGGTTGAACACTATTTCTGGAAGCCTGGTAAGATGTCCTTTTCTTCTGCTTTTGAACAGTGCTATCATGACTGGATCGTACAACAATTTCTTTAGAATGTTTGACCGAAACACACGACGGGATATCACTCTAGAAGCCTCCAGGGAGAGCAGCAAACCTCGTGCCATCCTCAAGCCCCGCAAAGTGTGTACGGGTGGGAAAAGGAAGAAGGATGAAATAAGCGTTGACAGTCTGGACTTCAACAAGAAGATTCTTCATACGGCATGGCACCCCATGGAGAACATCATTGCTGTAGCTGCCACCAATAATTTGTATATATTCCAGGACAAAATTAACTAAAGATGACTTTACCTGAGGACAGAGTTGTCGTCTTGCATAGTTAAGCTCAGTTGTTTATCTGTAAAAGAGAAGGCCTGTCGTCCTCCCAGTGAAGAACATTGATGCACTTACGTCCCTTTAGCTAAAGGAGAGGATCTGGCCTGCTTTTTGAGTTCCTGGTGTAGTTCTGCCCTCAGTGGGGGTAAGGGGTGTAGCTCACAGTTTCTGGGAGAAACCCTCTAGAGGCAGAGCTGATGGACAGTGCTCAATACGGCCAATACTCAAAACAAATGTATTTATTTAAGTCTGAGCCTTCCTTTCCAGTTTATAGACCAAAAATTTAACACCCAAGAAGAAAAATTGTCATAAAAAATGTAATTTCTATCTCTCACGCTCTTTCTCTGCTGTAATATTTGGGCCTTTCAAAACATATATTGTGCTTAATGCCTGTAAACATTCCTCCTCTGGCCTGTATCTAGGCTTAGGTGTTTTTACCTTGGAGCACTTAAGTAGGTCTTGAGTTGGGTTCGTAGACAGGTTTCCATGACTATTTACTCACCAACTGTATCTATAACCACACCTTCTGGTGTAAACCACTTAATAAAATAACAAACTATACAAAGTGTTTTTAAAGCTGAAGGTATGTATTCAGTCTTTTTATTTTTTTAACGCATGTACTGAGATTGTGCAAAATAATTCTGATGGGCAGATTTATCAATCTTTGCCCCAAAACGCTGATTTTTGGCAGACTAATACAAACTTTTTGGTGTAGTATTTCCAATTCTAAATTTAGAGTTTCCATAAAATTGTCCTTTAGTTCCAGTTGCACTGGTTTTCTTGTGAAATGCTGTCTGTGTACAACGCAGGAGATGGGAAAGGTCAGCAGAAAGCCATCCACAGCCTTAACAGAAAGTGACCGCCTGGCACAGAAGGGAAAACAAAACGCTCAACAAATTCTCTTCTTGGAAGATCAGAATTCAGTTTGTCTGATGCCTCTCAATGTTAGATACATACCTTATGTGCATTATGTTTTTTAACCTTTTTAGTGTTTGTCATGAAGATATACTTTATTTTAAATATTTGGCATAATAGATTGTATTTCACGTTGCAGTTGGAGCCAGCAGAACAACCACCTCCTGGTTCTGCCAAGCAGCAGCGCAGCGTCACACATTCTGGCCCGTTCCGACTTGAACACCACGATGTCGGAAAACACCGAGGCCACGACCTGGTGTTAAATGCGGTTGTTGTAACTCTGCTCTTGTTAACTTTTTTTTAAGCCTTAGGTACTTTTTTTGTTTTGTTTTTTTGTTTGTTTGTTTTTTTCCAAAGAGGCCTAAAATGCATCAACCTTCTCTTCACCCTAGACTAGCCGGGGGAGAACCTGTCCCCGAAGCTGCTGCAGCACGTTTTAGTAGCATCGAGTAGCCAGACGTGACACTCTGTGAAATGTGCCTGCACACTAGAAACCCTTCCTGAAAAACGAGTTCCCCTGAGCTTCCCAGAGGACGTACAGAGGTGTGGTTTACATCCATTGTTCTTAAAATGAAGGTGTATCATGATTCCTCAATCCAATCTGCATATGCCAGAGCAAAACGTCTCCTCCTCACCCTCCCGATTCATGTCCGTAGAGTGCCACTCTTGTTCACAGTAAGCTAGTGAGTACAACTAACTTTGAGGTTCTACAAATAAAGTTTAAATTTAAAAAAAAAAAATCTTATACTGTATACTGGTTGTGACACTATTTGAAAATCTTGACATGTGGAACTTCTGGGTCACTAAAGCTTTAGGTTTGACCTTGTTCCTAAATTACCTGATAGAGCTAACGCAGTGGGATTGTACATACTTGTTCAATTATTTTGACCAAAAAGTTTAATAAATTTTAAATGTTTACCTGGACTTGCTCTGTGTATTTTGACAACTTTTTCTTCCGTTTGTGAGATAATTGGCCAGATGAGCCAACCTGAAGATTGTTTGTATTTCCATTTTAAATGGTTAGTTTTTGAATGGTCATACCTCCAACTCGGAAAGCTGTCTGTTCATATTCGGTGAATATTACTAGTGCTGTCTATTTTTGATCTATTTTTTCAGCAGATGTAAGTGGAATATGAGTAAAAAGGATATGATGAAATCTTCTATTATATAAAACATGATTTGCTTGTACCACTTTCAATTAAATAGTTTTTGATGATTCACAAAATTTTTATCATTTCATTTTATCTAAAACCAGATTTTATTGTCAATTTGATAAAATTATTGTTTTTTCAGATATTTTGCCCAAATCCACCCTTGACTTTGGGAGCAGTTCAAGAGCATTGTGCTGCTCGCACTGACAGTACCCCGGGTGGGTACCTTCCAGGAGGTGAAGCGTGACGGGGTGGCCGGGGGTCGAGGTAGAGATGCGGCACTTGGCGCTGGTGTGGGGACAGCCCCCGGGCGTGTTCCAACAGGCTGCGAGCAGTGGACAAAGGACAGGTCTGTTCCGCAAATATTTCCTGAAAGTGAGGTGACTTCAAGCCTCAGTTGTTTTTGAGGAAATAACTGGAAGAGCAGAAGTTGTCTGTGCTAGAAATTAGAGGTGAGATTTTTTTGAAGCTTGTTTTAAACAGGTACTTGTTTTGGTGTGATGAGCCCTCAATGCCCGTTAGTGAGGGCTGCAGTGAACATTGCGGATCTTGAGAGTTTCTGTAAACCCGAGAGAGTTTTCCACGCAGTCCTCGCTTCACAAGACTTGAGTGTGTGTGTTGATTTGTCCGTGTAGATGTTGTTTGGTGAGCAGAGAGCAGGTGTGTGTGTAACTGTCATCACCGGTTACGTGATGAAAGTATCGGGAGAAGATGAACCACCCTCACAAAGGTCTGCTGCTGCCTTGGGATGGGCTTGGAAAGGGCAGGAGCGAGAGCGGAAACAGCTTTTACACCCTGATTAAATCAAACTTGCTTCCGAAGCGTTGAGGCACTTCATTTGTGCTGCTGGTGTCCTGGGGAGGGGGCTGAGAGCAGACATGGGCAGGGGAGGAGCTGGTGTCACTTGTTGTTTTGAAATGGGCATTGTCGCCTTGGGCATGTCAAAGAAGTACGGGGGGGGGAAGTGGGTTAACAGGAGCTTTTCTGGCTGCTGATCCCAAGGATGGGGGTAAGCGGAGCGCTAAGAGCTGTGCAATACCTGGGTCAGTCGGTGCTCCAGGGCCCGCGCACAGCGTTGGGATCCCCGAGTGCACTGCGCTGCTGCGTTCTCCGTGAAATACTGAGTCATGGTCCAGATTATCGACAAAGCAAGCAGCTGTGTTTATTACCTTCAATCTTCTGCAATAACAGAAAACGGACCAACCACTTCTGCTTACCAGCTTTAGGAAAAGCACACGACCTGCACCCCGCACCGAAAAAGCTGTTGGAAGCGAACTAATCCGCTGCGAGATCAAAGACGGGGGCTCAGATCCTCAGAGATCGTTATCCCTGTAATTGTAATTAAAATCAATGCAAATTGAATAAGGATGGAATGTAACTACCTCTACAATCCTCATTCCTTGGGCCTCATCCGAAAACAGACTTGACCACTGCGAATGTTTGTGGAAGGACCACGAGGACCTTCTGCCACCCTTCGCCCCGTTCCCATCTCAAACGGTTTGCTCTCGCTCCAGTTTGACTCCAGCTCAGAGAACGCTCAGCAGTGAGGAGGGTTTCAGGGTGCTCACTCTGTTCCTGGCCACAGAGGATTTCTTTGCTTCTGTCTTGAAAAAGAGAAAGGAGGAAAGCACAACGAACACCGGGCGTTCCTTTATCCACAAGAGAGACCTTCAGGCCATCCCACTGTAATATACACCAGGAACATTCCGTCGTTCTAAGCTGCCTTCAACCGTTTCTGTGAATCTTTCTTTTGCCCTCCCTGTTGTAACAGAATATGAACCCGGGGCCTTCCAATGCTGTGGATCTTCAGTGAAAACAAGAACTACCCCACACCATGGAAGAGGGGAAGGACCCTGGCTCAGTAAAACCTGGCGCTGTCCAGGTGCTGGTGCCGGCAGGTCCCCCTCTCCCTGCTGCCAGTTAAGAACAGCGGAGTGGGAGGTGCTGGGTGAGCTGCTGGGGTTTCAGCAGTAGTTGTAAGGAATCTTTTATTGGAATTTGGAAGCAATGGTTTAACAAAATCTTGTTTTTTCAAAGGGAGAGAAGCAGTTGATCTAATAGTACTTTTGATACCACTGTTTTTAATATTATTGTATGTATCTCCAACTGGAGCCAGATTAAAAACACCTGTGTCCAATTTCAGATGAGGTTCATCTCCAACTGGAGCCAGATTAAAATCACCTGTGTCCAGTTTCAGATGAGGTTCATCTCCAGCTGCAGCCAGATTAAAACCACCTGCGTCCAATTTCAGATGAGGTTCATCTCCAGCTGAAGCCAGAATAAAAACACTTGTCTAATTTCACATATGGGATATATTATTCAGGAATTAAAACAGTTCTATAAATCCATTTTCTGTTGCACATTAGTAAAAAAACTGAGCAGCTCCTGCTCCTCCTGTAAAAGGTGTGTGATTAAATTCAGACACGTGAGAACAAGTGATTTATTTCCACAGAACATGAAGCACATGCGCTTCCCCCAGCGCGGGGCCGGCAGGATTAATCCCGTGCTGGCCCGGGCAGCAGCAGCACCGCGTCCCAGGGCTGCAGCAATGGCAGGACCGGGACTCCATAGGGTGGGACAAGGTGCCCATTAACCCAATTTTTGTAAGCTCCATTTCAAGCACAGAAGAAAGTCAGTACTGCTAAATAAGGACAAAAATAAAGTAAAAAGCAAATTAATTTTTAAACGATGCTGATGGTACAAAGTAGAATTATTTGCACGTTCAGTGAGTTTCCGCTCACCACGTGACCTGCTGCTGGCTGAGCCATACGCAAGAACAAGCAATGGAGTTGTTTCTATAGAAACTTCTCACTTGTTTGTCCGTTGTGCAAGCAAGCAGCGTGAAACTCTTGTTTAAAGACAAAGAGCCTCGTCAGCCACTTTCCACCATTATTAGAGAAAAAGGAATGAGAAACCTCTGAATCCATGAGGAACCTTTTTATTTAAATATATAAAACATATTTTGGCAAACATTCTTTCCCATTAAATAAAATCACTGAATGGAAAGGAAAGGCATTCCTTTAGTAAAAACAAATAAGCAAGCAACCCCTTTTTAAATCTATACAAGGATGAGGCAAATGTAAGATGTAAGTTTATTATTTTACAGATAAAAAGAGTGAGAAGCAATAGTCTGCAAGTGGATACAACAGAAGAAACTGCTCTTAGCTGGGGAGCTAAATGAATGCTTTTGCAGAAGCAGCCAGCTGTGAGGCACTCACATCCAAACTGCAGTTCAGGCTGTTGTGCATCACCCTCTGAACTAGTGAAACCTGAAGGAGGTTTTACTCCTCTGCTACTTTCTTCCCGCTGACCGTGTCTCCCAACATTTCACATCTCCCACAGAAGTAAAAGAGAGCTCAGCAAAATCTACGTAAGGAAGAAACTGCCTCGGGGAGGTAAGAGCTGCTCTGAATTCCCGTATAGGATCCATAAGGCCACGCGTTGTCTCGGGCTAGTCCCTTACTGTCATGATTACAGCAGCAGTGACAATATTCACATCTATGAAGGATAAGGAACAGCAGCTTCCATGGGTACCCAGCTGAATCACAATTGCTCTATTAAACCTAGGATTGCTTTTAAACATGGAGTTATTTTAATTTTCTAAGCTACCTCACTGTACAGCGATACGAGGGATGTTACTGCACGGGAAACATGCTCTGTGATTGATCCAGAAGGCAGTATCATACAGGGCGTTAGTGTCTCTTCCCCACTCTCACTGAACTAGGACACCACACAGACAGAACAAGCACGCCCATCACACCGTCAGCGCTAGCTCGGACATTCCTTCTCTTCACTTCCCCTCTTCCCAGACGAGTTTTCTCTTCAACTCGACTTCAGGTGCCTTTAAAACGTGCTGCTGGAAGCGGTGGTTGTGAGGCGTCTCCCAATGTAGATCCTGAGGATGGAGAACACACGGGCAGTGAGCGCTGCATTTCAGTTCAGAAAGAAGGCACACCATGCAAGGAATGCTTTTTTTTTTTCCTCATCAGGTTACTCAGTGCCTGCTGTGGAACTCAGCTTTTGGTTACTAGCGACCCTGTGCACACCCTTGTCTGATAACACTCCCTGAATTCTACGGCTGAATGATTCTGTGTACACTGCTCAGTTTCAAGGATGCAAGAGCCAGAGGTAGGTGTGGGGTTAACAACAAGAACACGCTGCTTCAGGAGCATTATTACCTTCCTCCTTTTGTTATCTTAAGCTTTTCTTTTTGATAAATACATCTAAAATCTGTAAAACTAATTTTCAAGTACTTCGTACTATTTCTCTGGCCGTTATTTTCCAGCTTGGTTCGCTTTCAGAGCTGCCCTACATTGCATCTTCTCCATAGGTACTTCTAGCACCCCAAAACCTGATTATCTGAAGTGTAACTATTTTACTGACACTGCATTAAGCACTTCCCGAGGATGTGACTTTGTTCCTCTTTACGGAACTGGAAAGATCCAAATGTGCAGCAGTGGTGGCAGTGACCAGGAAGAAAATATGTACTTACATTACCAAGCTTGAGTTTCTTTTGAAAGGAAACTTCCATTATGCTTTTACTCTGTCTTGGGCAGTTACTCATTTTAATTTTTGAAGGAGTTAAAAATTGTTTGCGTGTTACTTTTACAGTATTATGTGTCCAAGATCTTGATTTTGCACAGGGAGATTTCATCTCTTCCCTTTAGCCCGTGTCCTGCAGCTGTTTTTAAAGAAGGATCATCTCACCCCTGCATCATCTAAAGAAAACCAATTCCTGTTTCATTTTGTGTCCCCCATCCCTCACAGGTGTGAGTGGAATTTTAAAATATATTAAATAATATATTTTTCCTTTGTAATTAGTTGTGAGATTCAGTGTCAGATCTCCAAGGGAACCAAACATTATGTATGTATAATTATAGTTCATATATAACTCCCAATTTCACTGCCCCTTAATTATTTTGAAAAATTCTCAACTAGGGAGAAAAGCAGAAAAGGAAAACTTGATGCATTCAGCAATACCAGAAGAAAACAAGTAGAAAGCACTTTCTGAATAACTATCTGTCCCCCTTCTGTGCGGAAGAGTGTACTACTCATCTTCTAGACATAGAACTGGGAGTCAGAATCAGGCCTGAGAAGACAAGTAAGAAAAGAATCTACCTTTTTTTTTTTTTAATTTAAACTTACCCTAGTCCAATGGCAAGCAAATGAGAAAGCAGCAGAGATGGAAGGAAAACCTTCAAAAATTCGGCTGAGAATATGCCACCTTTCTTCATTACACTGGTATTTCTCATGCTGAGAGTAGCCGTGCGGCGGGGATGTTTAAAAAGGAACTCCCTGGTTCGGAGGAAGAACAGAGGATCACAGCATTAACAGATACACACTTAGACTGGCGGAAGCGAAACCTGCATCCAGGTCCACCCAGAAACCCCAGCAACACTCACTTGGGGGGGATGTTCTCGGGCCTGCTGGACCAATCCCATATCCAGTCCGCATTCTTCTTCAGCAGCCTTTCTACTTCTCTCCTCCTTTCCAGGAAATCTTCTTCAGACTGAAACAAAGAGCCATCATCACACAGAGCTCAGGACCGTGGCAGGCAGGAAGTCAGTGCTGCCAAACACCGCTCCTGGGCTGCACCGCGGACCATACGCCAGGATAGCCCTGAAGCTCACTCCTCCCCTCTCTCCCCACTGCGGGCTCCTCGGATCACTTGCACTGAAGTGTTCAGATCCCGGACAAAGACGGGGGGAGGACGGAGATCTGTCTTCAGAGCAGGGTGTGAACAGAAATGACAGATCAGATCCCCTATTTGCTTGAGTTAAGACTGCCCGGGAAATAAAATGCCAGAGCCTTGCACTTAATCCTCACCTTCAGCATCTGAAAATATCACACGTATCACTGACATCTGGCAGATGAAACATTTTCCTGCGTTCAAAACTTGCCCTATTTATCGGAAGATCCTTCATCAAGCTGAGACAAGCCAAGTGAAACAAATTCTGGTCTCGTGAAGCTGCCTGGCTTCGGGGCCAGTGTTGGCAAGAGAGGTGAAGTGAGCCCAGGTCTGCCTGCAAACAACCAGGGGCTTTGTTTTGAGTGAATTATGGCATAAATGCTGAATGAGAATGTAGTTTGTTGCTTAATACATGTGCATGAAATGGAGCCAAGGTCTGGTGATAAAAATAGGATCAGATCACAGAATTAAAATAGCTGTCTATGCACACGTACACACTTACAAATGGCAGTAAAATTGTCCAGGCAACTCTAATTCTGACAGTTTGCTAACTTCTGATTATTTGTTCTCAAAGCCTAAATAAGGATCTTTAAACATATGAGAGGTTTTCTGGAAATATAAAATAAAAGTGTATTTAGGTAACCTAAAGGGGTAGTTCATTCAGCTAGATTCCTGAAGGAGCTGCAGAGATGATGGGGAGAGTTTCAGATAAAGGAAGAGGCAACAGGACCAAGCACATTTCCTGGAATTTTGAGAGCTGATTAAATCTACGTATTACTGATAATAACTGTATGAAGATGAAAGCCCATGAGGTTAAATACTGCACAGACTTTGTTTTAAAAAGTTTGTAACACTGGGTAGAAAAAGAGAATCCATGAACTAATAGAGCCAGCCAGGTAAATCAGGGAGACCCTGAGACGACAACACCCAGCACACTCAGCCACAGAGGGCAAAACAACAGGAACTGAAAAAGGGCGGCAATGGAAGAAACCAGGGTTTTTAAAGTAAAATGCAAGGGTCCCGAGTTCTCACTATAATTAAAGAAAGCACACCGCACACTGGAGCACGAGTAGCTGCTAGCACTGGTGACTTCTGGCAGTTCACCATGCACTGCCATCTCTTCTCGTGCAGAGGCTCCAAGGGAAATATAATCTTGATTTCTAATGGCTGACTGCTAACCCTGGGAGAATCAGTCACAGGCATGGAATATATTTCAGTTTAAGGAGAAAACAGTATCTCTGTGCAGGCAGAGCAGGGAGAGTGATGTACCCAAGGTAATACAGACAGCCTTTGGAAGAGCAGAGAAATTTACTGAAATAATTTTAATATTTCACTCCAAGTTGGAGGCTTAGCAAGGTGCTGACTCCTGCTCTCTTGAATTCTAGACTAGCAGTTATCTTCTGGATTATCTGTTTTTTCCTAAAAGCTACTTGTAGGATCTGAAGGTTGGCCTTTTCAACGTGTGGCTCGAAAGAGGTGTTTGAGAACCCACCCATTTTAAAAGACAATAGACTGGGGCACTTAAATCCTTCTGAAAAATCTCAGGTTACAAATTTAAAAAAAAAAATCCACGCAAGTCAGATACAAATACACAAAGCCTGATTCTGCAAAGATTATTCTAAGTTACTGAATTATTTAAGTCTCTGCATTAGCAGCTTCACCTCTCATTTCCTAATGCTGGTTTTCAAACAACGAGAGGAAGAAATTCCTTCTCCCAAAGCAAGATGAGATTTTTACCTGGAAGCTGTTCTTTTCTCCACTGCTGTGACTCTCGATTTCCAAAGCTCTGTGACTGTCCTGAGGCGTCTGGGAACGAGGAGGGCTTGATAAAAAGAAAAGTGCATGTAAGAAAGAACTCATTAAAATTTTTACAAGTTTATGTTACGAACTAAAAGTTAGTCAATAAAGCTTGCACACACAGTTCTCCCGAAGAGCTCTAGTGCCCTGACCAGAGTTTCAGAGATTGATCTGTCCGTGGGTGATTTAACCCAGCCATCACATTCGATTCGTCTTTGATTTTCTAACACTCTGCTGAGAAGCCTGCTGCACAGAGCTGGCTTTCAGCAGTGCAGAGAGACACCTGCGAGGCTGCACGGTCTGTCCCGTGGTACTTACTAAATGACACTGGGCAGCAAACAATAAATAGAAGTGGGTTTGGTTTGGCTCAAACTAGCCAGACAAGGCTAGAAAGCTCTGCATCCTACTGTTAAGCTTCAGGCCACGGACTTCACAGCCCATCAAAATCAAATAAATGAATTAACAGATATGAATAAATTGGCTGACACTTTGCATCTGATGGGAGTTGTGCTGTTGTGTTACACTCCTAGAAATCTGTTAGGTTTTGTAACCTAGATATAGGGCGATTCTTTAGCAATGACCTACACGCTGTTAACTGATGCGCCTCATCACAAAACACACCGGGCTTTTTATCACCTTGCTCCGACATTCCTCCTCCCAGCAGCACTACATGCTCTCAGGAGCAGTGCTAATGCTGCCTGCACAAGGACTGATCCTTTACAATGTCAGCCACCCACAGCTCCAGTGTTTTATTTCCTGGAACCAGGCTGCTGCCTGGACACCAGCAGCACACCCATAGGAGTGCAGCTGCTGCTGGACTTTATCACCATACACCAAAACTCCAAGAGGGCATCTTCATGAGATGTGAGAAGCCTTCCACAGTCCTCTCCCCCCGTAACTTTCTGGTTTCAGGACAGGCTTCCACCGCAGCGTTACTCTAGTATATAAATACTGATCTTTTAAATAGGAAACTTTCTTCTCTCTTCCCCTCTGCATGTGTGTATATGCATGTGCGTATGTACATATACACACGTACATGAGTATTTCTGGCTTTGTCTTTGCCTCTTCTGCATAAAAACAGCTTTCTGTAACAGAGACCTTTGCTTCGCTTACAATAAAGCATTCTGTTTACCTGTCGCAATGTGAACTTTCTCTTGAACTGCTTCTTCCAGATTCGTGTTGGGCATCAAGGAGTATTTTCTCCATGTCACCGTTGTGGATGGAAATAGAGGCTGGTACTTGTTCCTGGCTCGTCGGAGTGCCAGCATTACCGCTGCCGTTTCCATTACTGCTGAAGTGGAGTTCTACCCAGGAACCTGTTTGGCATAATTGAAACCAGTACAGAATAACCCGAGTGGGTTTGTGTACAAGGCATGTAAAAGACGAGGTGGTTGATCCTCCCCAGCAGCGCGATATGCAGAAGTACCAGCACTGACACCCCAGCTCATAAACACGATGAAATGCCAGAACGTGGGGGTGCTTCTGTTAGCGAGCTGGGATGTCGCGCAGAACTGACAAGAAGCTGGTCAGTACATTGTGTCTCTTTCTGCAGCTGAAGAACTTTTATTTTGAGATGTGTTTAGTTTTTATTGTTCAACATAGATGGAAGCTAAGTAAAATAATCTCAAGGACCTTCTCTGCCAAAGTTTATTTACTCATTTATTGAAAACATTTTAGGCTCCTGAACCCAAGAGCCGTGTTTTGTTGAGCTTTTCTGCAGTGAGCATTTCTCAGTGTGCCTGTTGAGCAACAGGGGATATGTGGCAGGGGCTGGATCACGTGCCTGCTGCTCGCAGTATATTTAACACCCACAGTCACATGTTGTTTTGGTTTTTTCAGAGGGCGCTGGATAACAACCCTCCTCTAGGCTAGGAGTAACCAGGGCACAAAAGGACCTCTATCTGTTGTCTCAGTTACAGAACAGCTCAAGGGATAGATAATATTTAAACTATGGAGCGTCAGTGGAAATTACATACGTCACCCGTTCATGTGTGTAAACAACAGCAGAGGCAGAGAGAGGTACTGTGCCCACCCTAGAGCAGTGTACAGGAAATGGAACAGTAAGTACAGGACAAAGAGGGCAGGTGAACTCCCCGCGTTCCCGTGAGCACAGCACAAAGGCTGTCCCAGGGCAAGGGAGAGACACAGACAGAGGTTTTTGGACCGTCCTGCTCTAGAGGACAAGGGGCTGGGGCAGAGCCCGGGAACAAGACATGATCCAGAAAACAGCAGAAGGAAGAAAGGAGCAGTTTCAAAGGTATGCAGAAGGGGAGATCTGAATAAAGATATTCCAGTCATAAAGAGACTAAAGGTTCATAAATGAAATGAAAACAGCAAAAAGCCAAACTCCTTCATCCGCATTCATAACGTTAACATCTCTCTTCTAAAAAGCCAGACGACCACAATATCTTTTGAATGGAATCATACTCAGTTGTCAAGTGTTGAAGAAACATTTTTCTGGACAGCCCCTCTTACTCACAACTGTTTTCTTGTTTTGGTTGGTCTGTGGGTTTTTTCCTCTCCACATGACCATATATGATACGTGTTTAAACCCAGACAAACCTTTCCCTATTCTCTCCCACAAAATTTACGAAAGCCCAAGTTGTAACTTAAGAACGATCACAACCACTGAAGTTTAAATTAAGACAGTGTCCAACTGGAGCTCTGGCTCCAGCTACCAGGCGAGGATCAGCTGGCTCCCACTCCGCCTGTCCCGGGGCCTCAGCACATCCCACCGCAGCTTCTGCGCCTCTGCTTACAACAGCAAAACATCATCACGCTGCGGGCACTGCCCTACAAAGATCTGTACACACAGTCATAAGCTATGTTCTTCTGTAAAGATGCACACTGCTTGAGGGACAAGCAAAAACATCAGCACCCCAAGCAAACGGAGCCTCTCCACACAGCAAACGGACGCTCCCTACTGAAATCCTCCTGGATGCAGGGTAACACCTGGGGAGGATTAACACCAGGACCACAGGATGTGTTTTTTACACATTTCCTTTTCTTTTTTTCCTCTAGACACTCTTGAGAGTAAGGCTGTGCTAGTGGCCTCAGAACCTGTTACATTATCATGTGAAGACAGAAGAGCCTGTATTTTTATGAAGCTGGAAATACAAACAGATGAGAGCACGTGTACCAACACGGCAATGCAAACCGAACAGAGTCATGGGGAAGGATTTTTGAGGAGAATGATCTCATACAATGTTCCAGCCCAGGGTGCACACTGTGGGAACACAGATTAGCACTAAACCCATACCCAATCAGCTCTGGAAATCTTCATTTCTTAATACCTTTCAAAACGGGAAACAAGAAAGCAACATTCCCCAGAAAGACCAGAACATCTCCTTAAACTGCTAAACCCACCCTGTAAGTCACAGAGACCTTTCATTCCTACGCTAAATTTGCTGCTAAACGCACCGTACGCACCGCTGACCCTGCGCTCTCCTGGGAGACACCCCGAGCTGCCCCAGAGGGTCTCCTTCACCAGGAGGGGTCTGTATCCCCCCAGCATCTCGGGGGGTGCCTGTCAGCAGCCCGCGCTCGGCCGCTCGGCTCCACAGCCCAGCCAACACGGCTTTA